GTGTTATATGTATTAAAGTGTCATGAAATCAAAGTGTAGATATCATAAGTTGTATTTATAATTTGATGAAGAGAATAATTATAAATACTTAAAAGATTGACCTCATATTCAATCTATATAAAGAGGTAGTAGTCCCCAAGAAATAAGTTAACTTGTATTACTATTATCACATAGAGAGTTATTAATTGCAAGAGCAAACATATCTTCTTGGAAGATTACAATTAAAGAAAGACTCAAAGATTTCAACATATCCTTTAATTTTGGTATGCTTATGCAAATCTAGTATTTTTATTCTTGATGATTTAGCATGATCAAATCCTGGTAGTTGTTCATATTTATTATGATTTAGTTCTAACAAGTAGTATCAGAGTCTGTCACGTTGAATCATCAAGAATTAATTGATTTTAGGGTTTATGATCTAGGGATTAAAATTATGGGTTTATAAAACCATTATTAATATGATTGGATCAATGCTCAATTTTATGTTGCTTTAAATCAAACTTTGAATTTAATGTTTTCTTTATTCGTCTTCAGTTCTTCATGTTTACATGATTCCTGCGATGTTAAGTTATTGCGATTGTTATTTCGCCTTCAATAATGGCATGAATGTTAATATTTTGGATTTCGAATGAATTCAATCTATTATTTGCCATGTTGTTTAATTCTATATAGGAGTTAAAATTTTGGGTGTGATAAAATCACAAAACATTCATATTATTTGGCATAGGCCGCAGGTATATGGCAGCCAAGTTGGTTGATAGATTAACCAACAGTAATGCTAAGGATTAGCCTTTTCATGTTTTTGTTTCAAGTCAATTTTAAATAATCATTAGTTGATTTAAAAGTTGAAATTCAATACCATTAACGATTTTGCGTAAAAAAATGGAGTAATGGTTTCATAAGATTTTGTAATTGATCAACAGGTTGAGTCATATTATTTTACGGGATTGAAATTTAATTTCGTTCCATAATTTTTTTATGGTTATTTTTTTTCTCAAGAGAAAATTTATGTTTTCTGTTACCTGCTTCAAAACATTTCTTTGTTTGGTGTTATGGTTTTCCAAGACCTTTTATTTATTAATTAAGGGGTTTTTTTAAGGTTATTGTAGAAGCAATTGCTTTTAGTACTAAGAACAACACCACCGATCTATTAGCTTAGATTAATTATTGATTACAGGATTAAGGCATTTTTGTTTCAGTTATGCGCTGTTTATTTTTGTTTTAATTTCTTTTATCATGTTTTGGTTTAATTTGATGAATTTATGATTAAGAAATTCTTGAGGAACAATTAAAGATTTAAGTTTTCGGTTTCTAATAACGTCGTTTAGATAACCTTATTATAGGTTACTTTGGAAATCATGATGTGGTTAGAAAATTTAGTTTTGATATTTTTGACTGTTATGGATTATGAAATATATATTTGGAATGATATTTATATTCGATTTGGATTGACTTTAAATTTTGGTTAAATGTTGGTTATTTTAAATTCGGTTTGTATTTGGTGATTTATAAAGTTCTAAACTAAATGATGTTTAAGGAATTTTTTTAGAAACAGTCAAATACTTGAGTTTTCAATTTTTGATAGCACCATTTATATAACCTTATTTTGGATACTGATGCGCCATCAGAAATTTCAGTTTTGACATTTGCTTGTTATAAAAATATTAAATTTAAATACTAATATTTATTTTGAGACAACTTGATTAAAGCAATAGGTCGTTAATGTGACCTCAGTTATGGAAAATATTTGATTTTCAAATAAGGTTATGTACATGTAACTAAGGATATGTTAATATTGATCGACCCAAAGGAATATTCATAGTTGACAATCACATGTAAAAATTTGGTAATAAGCATGCGATAATTATTCGGTTTGATGTATGAGTAATAAATCGACCCAAAGGAAGATTTTTGCTTGACATATTCTTATTAGCAGTGTTTGATTACCGCACTAGATATCACATAAGGTGCATATTTTGTCTAAAGATGAAATATTAATTGAGCATTTGATATCTTGATATAAGGTTTAAGGTTATTCAAATTTAATATTATATTTGTTATCTCTTAATTAAAAGATAAAATTAAGAGAAATTGATCGATTGACAATATATATATGATTCCGCTTATATTGTTAATGCAATACATGTATATATTCAATTCGGTTTGATCAAAATTTCAATTTTAGTTGTTGGTTATTAGAATATATATTGAAACAAGTTTATTCATATTTGGATTGTGTCTAATATTTTGATAGATTAGTTGAAACATAATGTCGTCAAAGTGACATCTTTTGTGTAGACTGATTTATTTAGAATATCAATATGATTATGTCTTTCTTGTAATTCATGTTTTTATTAATTGGCCCATAGGAAAGTTAATATTTAGCCAAATTTTGAACGACACATGTGGTAATAATATGTGACAATTATAATGAATTTTATGTGAGCATTACACTAGTCCAAAGATTAGTCTTTTGTTCGACATAACTTATTGTCAATGTTTGATTACTACAATAAGAGTACCGTTTATTGTTAATATTATTGTCCAAAAACTTGATATTAATGTAGTGTTTCGTATCTTGAGATGAGAATTACCCATAATTTTGAATTTATTTGTTTACTTAATATGTGAGCTTCAATTTTATGTTTTGTTTTGTATTCAACTATTTATTTATTTATTGTTATCAGAATATCTGTTGCTATACATTTTTTACTCATTTTTAAGGAAACGAATCTCAAAGAATAAGAAAATACACTTACATAGGATTTTAATTGTATGAACATTTACTTTGTATTAAGGAATGAACAATTTCCACCTCTTAAATATTACACAGGTATAGAAGTATGCGGGTGTATGGGATTCGACGAGGAGCAAATGGAGTGATACATACTCTAACTAAATGTGGATTAAATATTCTTATATCCTTATTCTATAGTTCCGATTCTCCATATTGTATTTCAAACTTATTGTTTGATGATGCTATTAATGGCTAATATATTAAACATACGTTTTTATCAAAAAATAAAGGATGGAGATTTTATTATAAATCTCATAAAAACATATTCACTTTATATTTGTATAAGTTAATCCATGAAATGTTTTCTGTAAATTAATATATAATTTGTAAAGATTATCGATTGATTAAGAGTTTGAAACATCCTTATAATTTCCAAAATTTTAATACTAATTAAATATGAAGGGACAAAATAATTTTGTACTAATACTTTCACCAACAAATCAATAATAGCTTTTTGATTACTCATGAAAACTTTACTCAGAGTACTATCAGTCGCAATAGTTGAGTATTATCATTGTTGATTTTTTTATTGGTATAAATCGCATTTCTCTCGATGTTTCACGTGTTAATTTTCTCCATAGAATTTAGTCGATACGATTGGTCAAAATTATTTTTTGACTTTAAATAATTAATTAATGTCAGTTAAATTTTTTACAGCTACTAATTTATTATCTCATGTCTTGAAAAAATATATGTTTTTACCATTAAAAGTTTTATTTTTAATAGTTATTTTTGAAGGGTTTAGTGTACATTTTTTTTCAAAAAATTAAGATCTAACTAGAATTTTTAAAATTTTGATAGGCTTAATGAGAATTTTTAAAATTCATGGGAGGACATTTAATTAAGAACATTTAAAAAAATTAAAGTTTAATATGAATTTTTAAAAATTTTAGGGGCTTAAATTAAATTTTTTAAAAAAAATTTAAGGATCTAATTATAATTTCTTAAATTTTAGGGAGCCATGGCCCCCACTAGGCTCTCTTTAGGCTTTAGTTCGCCACTTAGTGGCAGATGTAAGAGTTATGTAAGGAAACACGTGTTCATTTTGATATATAAATTTTTTATGTTAATTATTTATTTTATTAATATACTTATTTTTAAATTTTATTTGGGATTCTTATACGAAAAATTTATTTTATTAATATATATATATAAGGATGGATGCATGATTTTATGTTGGGAGAGAACTTCAACTTATAAAATTTCAGGAGAAACTAATAAAATTTTAGGAGAACGAAAATATATTTCAATATAAAATACATAAAAAATTTAAAATAATTTTTAGGAGAATGACCCCGACCTAAGTCCAACCCTATATATATATATATGTATAACCTTAAAAAAAAATTTGGGCCTGCCACTAATTCAAAGAATTAGAAGACCCCAGCAATAGTACATGACTTGCTGAACAGGTGGGGCATGGGGAGAGGTCTACACCGTCAATGACCAAATAGCCTCGTGCCCTAAATATCGATATCGAAATTCGAAAAAGGTCGTGGAACTTTGTCAAACAGTGGGAATACAAGATTTTGTCTACCAACATGCAAAAGGGTGGCTGAGGATGGAGAAACAACAACGACATGACCTGCAAAGCCCTTCCCACCACTCAAGCAATGAGCCTAGCTAAGCGGTTGATCACAATAAGAGGCAAAACTAAATATTTATTATAACGAGTTAAAATATTTTTTATTTTCTATAAATATAGTTTTATTAATTGAGGGAATGTTTATTTTCAAAACTATATATTTTCTAATATAAATTAATACTTAATTTTTTTTGGCGTGGTCAAAACTCCCCTTGACCTCCATAAAGTTCTGCCTATAATCGCAACAACCCTACCCGTGATGGGGAAAGCCTCGAGAAATACCAATCATATTTCGTTGTCTATTCAAATAATATGTCATAATTTGTTCACTTGCTAATAGGCATGTGCCTATTTTTTATGGATTAGTGTATAGGTAAGGTTAGAGATGAAGATCCATGGAGTTCAGTGCTCTTCTTATCCTCTCCAGCACGCGCGTATTGTTTGCCAGTTCTCGTCTAGTCATACATACTGACCGTGTATTGTTTGCTTGATCTACTTGATGGTCAGTTCTAACAAAAAGACATGCAATTCATCTTTGTGTCTTTATATTATATACGTATATTTAGCCACTGTTAACCTTTATTCTCTGTTTTGCTTTGAGATCGTCCCTTAGGAATGATGGATTCGGACCCACCATTCCATGAAACCTACAAGACCCTTTTCGCCGACAAAGGATCATCGACGACGGATATATCTCCGAAAAATGACCGCAACACCACGGTCGAAGATCGCGAGCTTCCGTTGATCGATCTAAGCCGGTTGGCCCTTGACGACGAGTTGGAGAAGGAAAGATGCAAGGAAGAGATAGCAAGGGCTGCAAACGAATGGGGTTTTTTCCAAGTTATCAACCATGGGACCTCGAGAGACATATTGGATAAGATGAGGGAAGAGCAAGTGAAAGTGTTCAAGCAACCGTTTTACAACAAGTGCAGGGAAGACAAATTCATGAATATCTCTGCAGGGAGTTACAGTTGGGGAACGCCAACAGCTACTTCGCTTGGGCAATTTTCATGGTCCGAAGCTTTCCACGTTCCCATGACCGATATCTCGAGCTCTCGTTCCTTAAATACCACTTTCACGTAACTTACAAAACCTTCCTTAATCTTCACAAACTATGCAGTAATTCTCATACCATAACTCATTTCATTTGACCTTGTAATGTTACACCAGCACATCTGTGGAACAGTACGCCACAAAAGTTGCCAGTCTTGCTCAGAAGTTGGCCGAAATTTTGGCAGAGAAATCAGGTCATAACTCCACTTTCTTCCAGGAAAATTCTTTTTTGAGCACCTGCTTTCTCCGACTGAACCGATACCCGCCGTGCCCCGTCCCATTGTTCGGCCTAATGCCACACACAGACAGCGATTTCCTCACCGTATTGCACCAAGACCAGATTGGAGGACTGCAATTAGTGAAAGATGGGAATTGGGTTGCAGTTAAACCTAATCCAGAAGCTTTATTCATCAACATCGGAGATTTATTTCAGGTAACTCATGATTACCAGTGATTAGTGGACTCGAGTTAATTAGTTAGCACTTAGCAGATAACTATTTCTTGTGCAGGCATGGAGCAATGATTGTTATAAGAGTGTGCAACATTGTGTGGTGACTAATCCAACACAGGAAAGGTTCTCGGCTGCATATTTCCTTTGCCCATCGTATGAGACAGTGATAGAGAGTTGCAGCAAGCCCTCGGTTTATAGAAGTTTTAGCTTTAAGGAATATAGACAACAAGTCCAAGAGGATGTTCAAAACTATGGTTATAAAGTAGGGCTTCCAAGGTTTCGTGTATGATATATATTAACCAAGTAAATATTTATTGCTTCTTCTAGCTATATTAGCAGTAGGATCGGTTTTGAGTTTGAATTTGTAATAATGATTAAAAAAATAAAAAGTTAAAATTACGTCATTTTTATCTTTAGTTAAATAATTTGATTGTTTTAAGATTTGATCATTGATTTATGTGTTTCTTTAGTTTCTCATTCGCTTTAAGTCTAATTCTAATTAAATTTAAACCACATCCTCTTCAATCACTGTATAGTACATTTATAAATTCAATTCCTCTTTTTTAAGTAATAATTTCTCTCTCTCTCTTTTGTAATTTAATTCCGCAACTTTATGCTTTATTCAATTTAATTCTTTGACTCTAATCTTTTGTAAATTCTTTCTTCTTATTAATTCTTTGACCGCTTATACTTCCATTAATACTTTATCTTCAAAATACTTCTTTGAAAAATATCATTATAAATTTATTATATAATTTTGGACGGTATTTAATTTATTAAATAACATTACAACTCATCTAAAAAGTATGAAAATATGTGTATATGTATATACTTATAGAAGTTTACATTAGAATCAATCAATACCATAACATTATATATAATTACATTTAAATAGAAACTTAAACAAATATATTCAATTTGACTAGAATAATTTCAAATAATGTGTAAATAATAAAATGATACTCGTAAATTCATTTAACTGTGATTCTCTTCAGCTCGACTTCATCAAACGTTCACCCTTAGCTTGGTGAGCATATTTGAAGTGCCATGCATGTGCTACAATGCAACATATTTCAATCACCGTTAGGTTGGTGAGCATTTGTACTGTTGTTCACAGCTACTAATCTAAAGCATTCCCATCTGGATCTGTTCCCCTAACCGACAATGTGAAGTATATCAGCAAAATTGTACCAATGCTCGATCTGTAATCCGAAAAAAAGAGAGAAAATTTGATCAGTTTTAGTATATAAACAATAGCTTAAAAATTTATCATAATAGCTTAAAAACACTTGCATTGTGGCAAAGAACAGGAGAATCCTCTTAGGGTCTCGTAGCCATGGTGGAGGAGATCGCTTGAAACTATTTCTCCTCGAGCTGATATTCAATCTGCCCTCAGTTGCAGCACTGATATTACCTGATGTAAAGGTGATCTGATTTGCCTGTTGTTGCTCGGATGATCTCCGGACTCTTTGGCCACTAAAATACATATGCAAACTGTTCATACACTAATTACATCTAAAAAAGCAGCTCAGAATCTTTGTAGGAAACTAATATTGATGATGATAATAATCATACTCATCTATATGATGGTCGAGCTAAGTGGCAGGACGACCACATCCGCAGCTAAACTGCAGAAAATGAGGCCGGCCCAGCTGGTTGGTGATGGAAGTTAATGTACTAAACCAGCAAACATGAACCAAATATTTTCCAGGAAAATTTTCCTGGGGAAAGTTTCAAGAACGTTCTATTTTTAATTTATTATTTTATTTGATAATTTTAAAAATATCAATTTTTTATTAAGCTAAGATGATTACAAGTAGTATCTCTTCTAAATAAATTATCTTGCTGCAGCTGCTGGTGCTGGAACCATGACATCTAGGAATAACAACGATTCTTTTAACCATTGAGGTAAGTTGATTCGTGTAAAAAATATCATTTTTTAAAAGTATTTTAAATTTGTGACGGAATATGTTTATGACAGATCCATATATTTTGTCACAAATTTGTGAAGGGTCCACAAGTTCCGTCACAAATTTTGAAATTTTTTTACCTGTTCATTTTCTCCAATTTCCCTCTATTGAAACATAAAATTTCAAATCTACCCGTTTTTACCTTAATTTTTTTTAAACCTTTCTAAACTCAAGTTTCTCTCATTTCTTTCTTCTTATTTCATCTCTTCTTATTAGCTCATTTTTTCTCATTAAGAGTTCATCTTTGTAGGTTTAAACGTCGATGTCCTTCCCTCGTTGGTTTCACACATTCCTCTATTTTAATTTTATGCAATCACATAGATGGACTTAAGCCTTTAATATCGACTAACAACCATTCGATGGCCTTTTTGTGGGTGAACAAAACAGAAACCAAGTCTTCTTCTTCTTCCTTTGATAACTCACTAGAAATAATGATCGACAAGGTTCGTTTATCGCCCAAAAATGTAAATCTTAGGTGTGAAGGATGCTGCTTTAACTCTAATTTTGGTGCCTGCAAAATTGAAGGAATGGGTTTAGACTTAGAGGGAATTAGGTGAAAGTCAGAAATATATGAAAGAGAGTAAATAATTGCGCCTAAATTTTTTCATCAAGATCCGTCAATTCCCTACAAAAGTCACTAAACAAATTAGTTTCTAAAAATTCAGCAGCCAATGGATCTATAATATCGATAAAATTTAAACTTGCGACCGTATCCGAATATTTCATGGCTTTATATACTTTGAACTTAACCACTTCCCCCTTCGAACTCCATGGTTAAGATGGCACTACATACATCAATTTTGGTGTGTATCATGGACAAGAAAGGTCGTCCAAGCAAAATCTTTGATTCAATATTGCTACGATCATTTTCCATATCGATAATGTAAAAATCAGCAGGGAAAATAAGATCATTTACCTTTACCAATACATTTTCTAGAACTCATTCGGGGTAAATGGTTGACCAATCGGCTAGTTGAACCGTCACTCGCATCTCCTTCAATGGTTCGCTTGAAATTTTGTTGTAGACAGTTAACAGCATGACATTGATGGATGCGCCTAAATCACACATCGCCCTCTTGATTATGAAATTTTCTATCTTGCACGGAATGGCGAACATCCCTTGATCTTTATACTTTGTTGGGAGGCATTTCTAAAAAATGGTCGAGACGTTCTCGCCAAGATTTAATTTCTCATACCCGGATAATCACCTCCGATTTGTGCACAAATTTTTCAAGAACTTCGCGTATTTAGACACTTTTCGAATGACATCAAGAAGCTGAATATTAATTTTCACTTTCTTGAATATATCAAGAATCTGTTTCTCATATTCTTTCTTGTCACGCCATGCAAGCCTACATGGGAAAAGAGGAGGAGTCTCGTAAGTAGGAGAGAAAAAAGAACAAGGAACGTCTTTACCTAAGATAGGTGGAAGAAAATATTTTTCTTCTTGATTCTTTGATGATGTGTCATCTTCCTTCTTGTCGAATCTTTTTTTTTTATGCTTTCATCGATTCAGGCAAAATGACAGTATCACTCCGCAAAGTAATTGCACTCATGTTTTCTATCAGATTAGTTTTGGTTTGAGAGTGTAATCGGCCTTGAGACTCAAAACGACCAACGGCTTGGGCTAATTGGCTGATATGTTTGTCAATTTCTTTGAGATGTGATAGTGTTTGGGTTTGAAAATTTTCTTGTGTGATGGCCAATTTTTCAACAACGGTCTAAAGTGAGGTTTCTTGTAGCTCTTAATTTGAAAAGGAGGTGGCATCGGTTGGTAATTTGGATTTATATATCTCATATTTGGGTGATCTCTCCAAACAAGATTAAACGTGTTACTATAGGGATTATATGGCCTTTGAGGAGGTCCCGGGAAGTTGTTTATGGAATTAACATGGGCGTCTGACTCTTCTTGCAACATAAGACAATAATCCATCGGATGGTCCGGTAATGTGCAAATTCCGTAGACTTTCACAGTTATGATCTTTCCTGAAATCAATGAATTCAGAATATCAGTCAACATATCTATCATATTTTCTAATGAAATGTTGCTTACCTCATGAACCCATCGGTTAGATTCACTTGTAGAACTGAATTGTTGTGAATTCGCGATCATGGTAGAAATTAGAGTCCTTGTGGCTTCCAGGGTTATATTAACAAGGGCACCACCATTAGCGGTGTTCACCATTTTTGTCGATTGGAAACATGCATTCATAAAGGTATTGCAAGAGAGTTTGTTCGGAAAGGACATACTATGGAAACTGGAACATAACTTTTTAAACCTCTACCAGTAGTCATGAAAAGTTTCGTTGTTCCTTTACTGGATTCCCAAAATTCTTTGCCTAAGCTCACAGGGAAAAACCTGTCAAGAAAAACACGAGATAATTCAGTCTAAGTAGTTACAGAATTAGACGGGACGTAAAATAACCACTCATTAGCTGCTCCGGCTAAAGAAAAGGGAAACGTTTGCAATTTGATTTAATCTTCGGAAACTCCTTGAGGCAGCATACTATTGCAAACCATATGGAATTCGGCTAAATGTTTATGTGGGCTCTTGCAAGGAACTATGTGCACATTCAGCCATGATGATGAATGTGCACATTTGCTATACAAGCATGATATATATATATATATATATATAATGTAAAGAATGTTGATTTCAGTTGTCATGAACAACACAAAATCTAGGAGAAAAGCCAAGAATGGAAGTTTTCGTGAGCCAAACCTCGAGCTGAAGGGGTCAGAGCAGCAACTGCTGTTTGATTATAGGAGGGGCTAAGTTCATAACTGACGATACAGTTAGGATTAAAAGATGTTCCGCCTTCTGGCCCGGGTGGAATATATGCTATTGCTCCTCGCAGACATAGACCGTAATCGGTTCCTGATAAGTCCGACGCACACTGGACAAGGGTGTACAGTGTTTGAGAACTTGAAATATTCTTCTCTTTAGTTGCAAATTTTTTGGCCCTTGCGGCTTCAGTTTCCACCAGGATAGCAGTATCATTAATTATACTCAGAATATACGTGTCAAAACGGTCTTGCTCAGCGAGATTCGAACTCACGGTCATGCCATTAAAGAAGGCAACTCTAGGTGCTTCAGCCACAATGGAAAATATATTTCGATTTGAGTATCGTCTCCGGCACCCATCGAACCATATCCCGGCCTCTTTTTCAATGGGACAACGTCGGGAAATGTCATCGGTGGCAAAGGTTTCACACACTTGGCAGTCGTTGGTAGAAGATCTCCAAGGCATCCGTACATGCCGTATACCATGTCAGGGTTCCTGCCTGAGGTTGTGTTGTAGAAACCTTCTCCCCAGTGACGTTAGACGACAGTGAAGATAATAATCTATCGTGGTT